AAAAATGAATTGCTTCAAGTTCAAAACATTTGCAAATATGATTCAGACAAGTAAAACATTGATATTTCATCAACTTAAACCATAAAGATTATTTTAGTTAAGTAAGAATTTTTCCCACAGAAAAACCATACATAGCTGAAATCATACTGAGGGAGAAGAGATCTGTCCTCTCCTCTCCTCTAACTTTGATAAACATTCTCTGATTATCAAAATGCGTAATACTTTCAGTTAAGAGAACGCTAAATCAAATAAGATTCTTCTGTTTTTATCTGATTTAGAAGGAAAGTGGCCTTGGGTGGCCTAAATACATTTCTAAATGGAACAGAGTTTTTGTCCATTTGAAGGCCCATCAGAGGACTGAGAGTCCAAGATAGTTCCTTGATAATTTGACTCGAGGTGACCCCTACAAGAACAATGCCAGTGTGGTGCCTGCAGCTGTCTGTGAGCACGTCCGCAAGGGAGTTCCTGCTTTTAAATGACAGAAGCTGTTTTTAGACAAGGTTAGGTTAAAGGCCAGTAAAAAATAAAAACRTATTTAAAGATCTGACAGTGATGTCCTAAAAGTCTGCAAATAAAATACAATGTGACTTAGTTTGTCTCTTAAGAACATATGTGTACATATGTCCAGTGGGGCTGACTCAAAGAGTGAAAAAGGCAGCAGCTTTGCTGTGATGCTTTTATTGTCTTATGCAGGGCATGAAGCATTTCTCACCACATATTTCTGTTTTTAGCTCTAAAAATGTTAAAAGTTAGTGAAAAAAGGAATGACTAAACAAGGATATATTTTTACATTTGAATATTATGAACATGGAAAAATCAACCCCCCACTCCCACCAACAATACAGCAGGGCATATTAATGTATCGATTACTTTGTCATGTTGTCTCGGGAAGTTGGAAATTTCACTTTTAGGCCTGAGTCATTTAAAAACAAATATTGCCTGAAGATTTATTCAAACTGGTAAACCCTGAGTTAATAACATTTAACTAATGATGCCTGTCCATTAGGTTCTCAGAGAATGTAAACAAAGAGTAGCTGAGAGGAACAGACACCAGGAGACAAGTACAACAGGTGAAGTTTATTTACAAAATGCACAGTGTGGTGATCCAGATCTGAAAGAAGGTTCAGGGTGAGTAACGATTCTGGTGGAGAGAAAATGTCTGTTATTTTCTGTTTTGTTTTCTTATAGGTTCCAGGTGGATGGAGAGTATGGAGGTGCAGGTGAGTTTCCGGACGAGGATTATCCAACAAGGAATTAAAAGGAGCAGGCGAGTGAGACCCAGGGGATCGAGGACAAAGAAGAAACAGGTAGGTAGGTGAAGAGGCAAGCAGCAGGTGAGTGTTGAAACCAGGATAAGATAAGCTCCAGAGATTCTTCGAAGGAGGACGTCTGTCAAGAACTGAACACAGGAGAAGACTAATACTCAGGTAATCTTAAATTAGTGAGTGATATGACAACTTTACCAAATGGTATAAAATGCTTCAGCGTTGACCAAACTGTCAGAAGGGCCTTTTAAAGCTTGAGAGCTCATCAGTGAATTTGCTGCAGCTGCTCCCGTATTCGCCCACAGTATCCATTAAGGGCTGCAGGACCTGTCAAAAATACTGTACTCCTAGTCCTCAATAAATAT